TACCTAACAAATCTCACTGGCCCAAGGGTTTTACTCTAGTTGGTTTTAGCAAACTGAATTTCAGTTCCCCTTTTAACAGTGAATTTTCAGTATGTGGAAAAATGGTTCCTTAGACATTCTGAATTTGTTATTTTCTGTAGAAATAAATAAGTTTTGAATAGCAGCATCTGTCAACCCAGAACTCCACAGGGAACGGAGGTTTACCCATTAGTTTGATCCTTGTTAATGAGATCTTGTTTCTCTGTCACATAAGGCAGAATGAAAAAAGACACAATTTATACAATTAAAGCCTTGTTCTTTTCTGTTGTCAAAGAGAAAACTAGGGGAGCAGAGTCATACCAATCTTGCTTGACAAACTAAAATATTTGCTTTTTTTACTTCAGCCCCCGCTGTCACAATGGGTTAAACCCTTGTGCTGGCAGGACTGAAGACTGACAGGTTGGAGGTTCAAATCCCGGAGTGTGGATGAGCTCCCTCTGTCAGCTCCAGTTCTCTATATTGGTAAAACAAAGTGAATGCATCCCCTGGACAACATCCTTGCAGACAGCCAATTCTCTCACATCAGAAGCGACTTGCAGTTTCTCAAGTCACTCCTGACACACACACACAAACCCTTAGCATTTCCTATCATGGTGATAGGAACAGCTGGGACAGCAGAAGCCAAAACCTCCCAAAATGGATTTCCTTAGGTTTTTGTCCTTCCAAAAAATAAAAGAAATACAAGCAAAAATATAGATAAACTGCCTATATTGTAGGTTTGTTTAGTGTTATAAAGAATCTGATGAAATTAATTCCTTTAAGGGAGAAAATTAAACTGGTTTTGATTTAATAACCCCTACCTACCTGGGTTGTATCTACGCTGCAGAATTAATGCAGCCTGAATAATGGGAGTTCTCGTTTTGTAAAAGCTTTAGCCTTCTTTGCCAAAGAGTGCTAGTGCTAAACTATGACTTCCAGGATTCCATTGAGCCATGACAGTTAAAGTGGTGCCAGACTGCATTCATTCCATAATGTAGATGCACTCTTAGACTGCTGTAAAGCAGTGGGCTTCCCAAGCTATGTTGACACCTAAATTCCTACATCCACACTATCGTGTGACATCTACTCAATGACCACAGCAGGAGAAAATAGAAAGTGAATGAACTCTTGAGATGATATTTTAGAAGGGCAATGGCCTATGTTGAACTCTGAGTAATGTAAGCGTAATGTAAAAAATTAACAAACCCTGGCAGGGGGCAACTAAAATGCTTGCTGGAACTGTAACATCTCAACTTACCACATGGCTTTTTAAAAATATTCAACTTCAGAAGGATATCGGTTCATCCAAAAAGCTCTTTTTACCTAAGAACCCCAGAGCTGGGAGAACCTTGCTCTAGAACCTTGCCCCAAAAGGAGCATTGAAATCTAGTAGTTATCTAGTGTACAGTAGTTGCTTAGAGAAAGGCTTTTTCTAGTATCGGGCTTACCAGAGCTTCTTTTAGGCAGTATGTGACTCTGCTGTCTGTGGTGAAGCATTCACTACTTATGTTACCCACTGAACCAATTCCCCTCTATCTCTTTTTATAAGTCAAGAAGGGCAAGGGCCCAGGGTCCATGCGATGGCTCTCACCTTGCCAAAGAGCCTGCCTACATCCTGAGGCTGCACAAATGGAAATATACCCATTCATCTGAGACAAGCACAACTACATCCACAGGACATGTAACAACAACAGCATCCAAGTTGAAGCAAATCTAAGCAATTTTATCTGCAAAATGTCATACCATTTCAAAGTGGGCTACCAAGTATCGACATAATATTTCTATGGGGCAGAATCCAAAAGGAGTCGTAGAATTTGAGACAGATCCACTGGACAACAAAATGCAGATGCAATAGTAGCAAAGGAGTAATGGGTTCCAGCCACTGCTCTGCATTTGCTTTCATCAACATTGTATCCTACTCATCTCCTTTCCATGCATTTCATCATCATGGAATCATAAAATCATAGTGTTGGGAGAGACAACATGGGCCATCTAGTCCAACCCTCCGCCATGCAGGAAAAGAACAACCAAAGCACCACTGACAAATGGCCATTCAGCCTCTGTTTAAAAGCCTCCAAAGAAGGAGTTTCCACCACATCCTGAAGCAGAGAGGTCCACTGTTGAACAGCTCTTCTGGTCAGGAAATTTTTCCTAATGTTCAGGTAGAATATTCTTTCCTGTAATTTGAACCCATTGCTTCAAGTCCTAGTCTCCAAGGCAGCAGTTCCCTATTGAAAGAAAGCACTTTCTTGGTTTCATTCCATAGGAAAGGATGCTTAGGATCAATTGTATTCACCACCATGGGCACTTCTCTTTTCCAGAAATCAGTTCAGGTTTTCACAGGCTCACTTGCCAAGGGGACAGAGAACTCATCATGTACCATTAGGAATCCACTTAGATCCATAAGTCTCCTGAGGCACACAAGGAGGCTTTTGGATGGCCTCCTGGTCTGCACCACTATAGAGGCTCCTAGTCCTAGCAAGTCTGCACTCCGCCAAGTAGTGATTTGTCCAAGACAATGGAACCATAGACATTTCCTTCTCACTAAGATCACCATCATCCCACTTAGCACAGAAAACAAGGTCCAGAATGTGTCCTGCATTGTGGGTGGCCCCAGATATTATTTGGGACATATCCATGATTGCAGTCCTGAGCTACATACAATAGGATGGTCTCATGAGGATGCTGAAGTCCCTCAGCACAAAAAGCCAGGGAGACTTCAGCACCAACTCACCAGCTGCAAAAGGGAGATTGTTGAGTAGTGGGACAGCTAGTAGAACAGAATAGTATTTTATCCTGGACTCCGAACTTCAGATATAAACACTCACTGTGTTCATATGCCACAAAAATTAAAAGACTTTTTGTCATACTTTTTGTTTGGTTGTAGGGGGAATATAAATATACAACTTTGGGGGGTCTAAAATGCTCGATCCAAAGGCGTGAGAGTTAGCATAATTTTATGACACTAATAAATTATGATTGCCCTGAACTATAGCAGATGCTGACAGCAGTAGTGCCTTAATAATGGTTCTATTATACTGTGTAATTTGTAAAACCCAATGTTTTAATCATTTCCCTCTGTATTAAAAATGTATAAGAATTTTATTGGATTCATCAGCTTAGTAAGTGATGTCTAAATAATTGCTTTTGATTCTCTCTCTTATTAATTCAGTACTTGTGTCACATTGTGTGTAGCAGTACTTTGTATTATATTTTGCACATAAATACTGATTTGTGATAGTCATTTTTAAACCCTTGCTAACACTATAATATATTGTGTGGGAGGAAATGAATGGGAAATTGCTGTGGCTGCTGGAATTGCATATTTTAATGGTCAAATCTGGAGGCCACTCAAGTATGCTGCAAGAGCAAATATAAGAAACTGTTGTACTTGCTGAAAAAAAGGCCAGCTGATGTAGCCTGAAAAATACAACCCTGTTATATTCCCTTCTGCATAGGAAAGAGTAAAAAGTAAGATCAGAAGAGCAGCTTTCTGAAGGACTTTAGCTCAGAGGAAGGCCAATGCAAACCATGCTAACCAGGCCTGTAGCCAAAAAAAAAGGGGTGGTGGGTGGGGATTTGAAACAATTTTTTTTAGTGAATCATGAAGAGTAGGCCCATAAAACAAAATAATTTAAATTCTATGACTCACTCCATATTTTAGTATAGACTCAATTAAATAAAATTTCTATTTTTTGCTACAAAGTTTCAAGGCTAAAAAACATGACTCTTAATTTGTAATTTAGTGGTTACAAAAGAATACCACAACACCAGTTGGAAACACTTGAAAACTGTGTCAAGACACTTTGACAGGAATCAGGCTTCATCGATAAACTTCGGTGGACACTCAAAAGTGCAAATCCAGACAGTCTTTCTTGCCCCATTGTGCTTATGTATTTTTTTTCAAACGTTTAAGAGTTGAAAACAACCTTTCATTTGTGGCTCTTGACACTGGCAATGCTGAAGAAATCTGAACAAGTTTCTTCAAATTTGGAAAACACTGTCTATGACATACAAGATACGCTTCCAGTGCATTTGATAGGTTTTCTGCAGGTGTTATCTTTTTCCATTTTCTACAGCACTGGTCAAACCAGTTAAAATTCATGAGTAAACTAGTTTTTTTAACCTGAAAAATCAGGTAGGTGAACTCCTGGCTACGGACTTGATGTCAAAGATTTAAAAATCTGGGAAGGACATATTTGTATTTATTTTTTAGAGATAGTAACACAATGAACAGGACCTGCTAGAAAGGAAAAACAGAGATAACATTTCTCTGTCCAAAAGCTGCCCAACACGAAAACTAATCGGTTCTGACAACTGGCTCAATCAAGCTTATTCAAGAAGTCTCTGCATATATACAACATGGCTAATAATAACTAGACAGGCACTGAATACAGCAGCAAATATTCTGCATATGAAAATAGCATTTGAAAAGTACTAAACCATTTCTGCGTTATCTTCTTGCACATGGATTTATAGTTATTTGCAGCTACTGGGTTCCTACCTCTTCTAGCACGACTTTCTTCTCCTATAGAATCCCTTTGGCATGGGGTTGGAAGAGGCCTCGTGGGCCATCCAGTCCAACCCCATGCCAAGAAGCAGGAAGATCACATTCAAAGCATCCCTGACAGATGGCCATCCAGCCTCTGTTTAAAAGCCTCCAAAGAAGGAGCCTCCATCACACTCCAGGGCAGAGAGTTCCACTGCTGAACAGTTCTCACTGTTAAGAAGTTCTTCCTAATGTTTAGGAGGAATCTCCTTTCCTGTAGTTTGAAGCCATTGTTCCACATCCTCCTTCTCTTTTTGGAAGTTGCCATGGAATACATCATGAGAAATCTAGTCCTCTTGGACTATTGTCAAAGTGAAAAGCATGGGTTCCCAGCAAGCCTCTTGAAAATACTTTGGAACTGTCACAGTTGCTTTTAAGAATCACATTTATAACATACAGCAGACTACACACAAGGTAAGAAACAAACACTTACTGCTTGTAGTGAGGTTACTTTCCCCCGTCTGTGGAAGAGGATCTGCATCCTGGATGACTTGTAATACCCCTACTGTCCGGACTGGGGGATCCAAAGCTACAGAGCTCTCATTCACAGTTATGTCACTAGCTCCTGTAATTTGATTTGTTGGTGGCCCTCCTATAGAAGCTTCAAAGTCTGGAGGGATATCATCCACACAATCTGCATTTGGCTAAAGAAGAAAAGAAGTTTAAAAAAGAAACTAATTTTAGAAGATTTTTACTCTCATTTTTATGCCATATTTCATGTATGATACCTAAACAGCAGCTTCTCTAAAATAGTAATTAACACTGACCCTCATAGCTCTCTTCATCTTGAATGGAGACACACCAGTTATGTTTCCCCATCTTTGCTTTTGTGTGATCATGACCCTCTTGAGAAGTTGTCAGAGTGCAACTTCCAACATTCCTCACTACTGGATATGCTGGCTAGGGTTTCTGAGACTTTAAAATTTAAATCTGGAAGAAACAATGATTTCCATTTCTTATCTAGGGTTAACACTAAACATCAGTTGCATAATATCATGATAAATGGATTTTATCTGTGATTTTAACTTGATGCCAGAGGCATCCAAGATAGTGACTCCATATGAAATCTCAACAAAAAAAATATACAGAATACACAACCCTATTTGGCCATTGCAGTGGTCCTTGGCTTCAAAAAGACTACTCATGCTGAGTTACTCCAACTCAACAGCTGTCAAGATCATATCTTTGTGCACTTTCAAAAATCAAATTTGCAGTGTTTATCTTATTTCTACACTGGTAATAATTTCCTCCACACCACCTAAGTGAAGCAAGGCGGGTTGTATGGCAATACAATTCTCACCTTGCGTGTACTTTAGCATTTGCCACCTAAACTGGACACCTCATGCAATTTAATAGAGGGCCAGGATTGGATGTAAAACCATCCATTAAAAGAGAAAAAATATGCTTTTTTAAAACTTTACTATAACGAAAATCAAATTATGTTTTCATGACATTTTGAACCTTCTATGACAAAACATTGCTTACCGGAATCCCTAGTGCTTTTAAGATGTTCATTTTACACATAGGGCAGGTACGATGGTCTAGTAGCCATGGATCTACGCAAGATTTATGAAAGAGGTGCCTGTCAGGGTGAAATAACCACATTTAGTTCAAATCTTCCTCTCTTTTTAAGCTCTGTTCAATTTCCACAAAGTTCAATTGAGATCATCTATTCTGGAAAAGGCCAGTTGAAGATGTCTCAGTGCAACAAATACTTCTGGCAAGATTTTTTTTTTAAAAAAAAAAACCCTAAGAAATGAAGGCCTAGAATAAAAAATGGAAGTGTTTGTGTTTAATGAAATGTAGCTTTTGGAGTTGTTTGCTATTTCAAATATAATAACCCTTCAGATAACAATCTCAGAAGATGAAATAAATGGAGGCTACTTTTTATGACAAAAACAAGAACCTCAAAAATATTTCCTGCTGCCAGTAGATTTCTTGTCCTTGCTACTCTGTGAAAAGTAACATGGATTTCTTTTCCAATGCAAATTGCACTCAAACCATCTGCACCTATCCTTGCCCTTTTGCATGCTGGAATAAATGGATGGGTAGATGGAGAGTGTAATTTCAGTGGTGGCATCTAAACTTGAGTGTGATTTGGTTGTTGTAAGTTTTTTGGGCTATATGGTCATATTCCAGAAGCATTCTCTCCTGACATTTTGTCTGCATCTATGGCAGGCACCCTCTGAGGTTGTGGCCGGAGGCCGGAGGTTTAGCACAGCTGGCAAATCATCAGCAATTATAAGATCTATCAACCAGAAGGTTGCAAATTCGAAGCCCCAGGTTGGCAGGAGCTGTCAACTGTCAACCTAGCTCATTGTTTACCAAAGCAATTTGAAAATAGCTTTAGCTGTGATTAGAGAAATTAGGTACCACTAAAAGCAGGGGTGGTGTTTTATGATGCCATAGAGAAAGAAGATCAGAAAATGCTGGGCGACCAAAAGGAAGGAGGAACTCCTGATGGCTCTTCGTCATTGAGGATAGAGCAACAGCACCCCCTGGACTTGAGCCCAACCTTCCGTGGCATCAAAAACAGCTGGACGCTGAGTTGAAACAAACCACCCCCTTCTGTTCTGTTTGTCTGTGTATTGTCTATACAAAGCAGCATTGAATGTTTGCTGTGTATGTGTACTGTGATTCGCCCTGAGTCCCCTTCGGGGTGAGAAGGGTGAAATATAAATAAAGTGCTGTTATTGTTGTTGTTGTTGTTGTTGTTGTTGTTGTTGTTGTTATTATTATTATTATTATTATTATTATTATTATTACTATTATTGTGAGGTCACCTCACAACCTCTGAGGATGCCTGCCATAGAGGCAGGCAAAACATCAGGAGAGAATGCTTCTGGAACATGGCCATACAGCTTGAAAGACTTACAGCAACCCAGTAATTCTGTCTATAAAAGCCTTCAACAATACATTGAGTGTGATTTCCAATAAAAGTTAGTTAAACTACCTATTTCTTCATGTGCTAACATTTTTATGAAAGTCTGGTTTTGCTACTCCTTTTGTTTTGATTCACTATGTTTCTAATTCTGTTGTGATTTATATTTTTATTGAAGACACCTTGAGTGTGGTCCTATGAAAGGTAAACAGGATATAAATGCCCAAGTAAAAAACAAATACATAAACAAGAATTCCTTTTGCAACTGTTCATTAATAGCTGTACTGTACCAAGAAAACGAAAGAAGAAATCAGCCTTTTAAAGAGAACACCCACAGACCCACAATCTGAGCAGGAACACATATGCTATGCAATGTGTGAAATCACTAGAAAGTGTTCCTCTCTACTGAAAAGATCATATCTTTTGAGTTCAAGCATTGCAACAGAACCCACTCGCAGATCGCAATACAGGAAAAAAATCTTTCACAGTCAGTGGTTGTTTGGAATTCTTACACTTTACAGCCTTATTTGGCCATTGCAGTGATCCTTGGCTTCAAAAAGACTACTCATGCTGAGTTACTCCAACTCAACAGCTGTCAAGATCATATCTTTGTGCACTTTCAGAAATTAAATGAAATTAGATCAGAAGGGAAAACCTTGGCTCGCTGCAGTGTGCAAAAGCTTTGCTCTGATTTAATCATGTGGTTGGTTTATATCATGCTTCGCATAAGATTTCTGCAATCTTAAGTGTAAAATGTCCATTTTCTGCACGTTCAGTTTTTTTTTAAAGTTCTTGTTTGGGGGCATTAAGATAATATTTTCTATTCACTTAAAATCTGGGCTAGGGAGCTCCAAAGCCAATGGTAATTTCCTCATGTCTCATGACAATTTTGTGACTGTTTGGGTCATCTGAGGTGATTTCTAGCTGGAAAAATACATAAATGTATTTTTACATTTAGGGACTACAAAAACTTCCCTCAGCCCTACATTTTATCTTAGGGCTGATCTACATGGGTAACAAAATCTGAGGCTGGTCCCGAGTATTGCTGCCTGAGATCATTCCTGGGTTCTGCCTTGGCATTCACACAAGTCTGCTACTGAACCACATCAACAGTGGAAGCAGAGTTCTTACTGTTCAACAGGGCAATCCCTTTCCCTTCACTGAGTCACACTAGTGTCTTTGATTACATTGGCAACGGCACTAATCAATGACCATGAGCTCTATGGGACTCCAAAGCTGCTCCTCTCTCTCTCTCTCTCTCTCTCTGTCTTTCATATAAACTCAGTACATGAATCTGTGAAAGCAGTATCTCCAGATGACTGTAGCTGCACTCACTATATATTAGGGAAGGAAAACCGGGGAGTTGCATATTGTGCAGGTACAGTTGTACCAGGAGCTCCAATTTTGTTTGCTTTGCATTTAATGTTTGTTATAGTCCTAAGTTTCAGGGACTCTGCAAATAGGTGGCTTCTTTTGGCTGCAATCATAGGGCAAGCCACCTGACAATTATATTTAGGTTCCCTGGTCCCACCCCCTTTTTGGGTTTTAGAGGGAATAGGAGCCATTTTGAGTACAGTCCACACAAAGAAGCCTTTCATGCAGGACATAATACCAAGAGCTCCTGTAGAAAGCTTCGTCTTCTACGGCTTGGCCGGGGAGATATACAGCCCACAGCTTGGCCGGGGTTATACAGCCCTACAGCTCCTTTGCTGAAGGACTTCAGTCAGCCATCACGGAAACCTGAATTCTTTTTCCCTGGAAGTCTACAAAGCTCTGCTTGGTAAGGGTCACTCGCGGAAGCCAGAAGCAGTTGGTACCGGGTGCAGGGGCTCCACGCCAACAGAGGCAAAGACAGACTGCCCAGATTAGAAGTTAAGGATTTCCCCATTAGTTACAGTTATGAAGATAGTGCCTGTTCCCTGTGGACAAGATTGAGAGAGAGCCAATAGACTGTTAAGAAAGCCTTAAAGTACCTGTTTGTTTTCATTAATAAAGAACTTTGTTGAACCTTTAAGCAATCTAAAGACTCTGTTTTAAGGAAATCCAAGGGCCTTTAATCTGAGGCAGCCCCGGCGTCCCGTTGGGCACACAGAATTTATGTCCTGTCTACAGTCTTATGCACAGGCCCAGCGTGCGACAGCACACTATGTTTGAATCATATTTTGTACCCTTTGGGTTCCCCCGCCACCATTTTCTTTGTTTGAAGTACAAGCCGACCCGAATATAAGATGAGGCACCTAATTTTACCACAAAATACTGGGAAAACGTATTGACTCGAGTATAAGCCGTGGGTGGGAAATGCAGCAGCTACTGGTAAATTTCAAAATAAAAACAGATACCAATAAAATTTCATTAATTGAGGCATCAATAAGTTAAATGTTTTTGAATATTTACATAAAACTGTAATTTAAGACTGTCCAACTCTAATTAAACCATTATTCTAACTTTCTTCAACGTAAATGTGCATTTATTTTTTAAATTTTAAATTATTACATTTGGCCCAGCCATAGGTTTTTAAATCCTTGTGTGTTACTGCTTACATGTGAGTTATATTAATTGTATTATTTTTGCTTATTGTTTTTTGCCTTATTGATGTGTTGTTGGACTTGGCCTCATGTAAGCCACTCCGAGTCCCCTTGGGGAGATGGTGGCGGGGTATAAATAAAGTTTTATTATTATTTCATTTATGTATCCTTCCAATAATAGTAGAGTAGAAGAATGCATCTAATAATAATAATAATAATAATAATAATAATAATAATAATGGAGTAAAATAATGTAAATGTAATAATAATAATAATAATAATAATAATAATAAATGGAGTGAAATAATAAATGTAATTAAAACATAGTAACAACAACAACAACAACAACAACAACAGAGTAAAATAATAAACGACCGTGACTTGAGTATAAGTTGAGGAGGGCTTTTTCAGCCTAAAAAAGAGCTGAAAAACCCGGCTTATACTTGAGTAAATATAGTATAAATTATATTAGCTAGAGCCAAAACTCACCTTCCTTTTAGATGAAGACTCTTTACGATGCAGAAAATAAATCTTTATATAAAATCTTTTATCTTACATATTATTATCTGAGGAAATAAACATCTTGATAAAAGGCATTACTTACTACTGATTATAATTACTAACTGATAATGTATTTTCTTTAGCCACCCAGCCCACCACGTCAACCCCAATACTAACAATTTTAATTATTTTACTCTTAGTGAGAATTGTTTTATTCTTCAAAGATGACAAATATTTTTGTCATCTGTAAAGGATGTCAGAACCTAACTACTTCATTAAAGCTAAGACATTATATTGTTTAGACTAATATGTCCACTTACCTGCAGGGCAAGATCCTGACAACATCATTTGGTTTGTAACCTTCAATACACACTGCACAGTTATCAAAATCTGGCTCAGTTTCCTGTTTAAAAAATTGACATATTTTAATTTTTGATTGGACAGCACAGGGCTGAGAAAAATATCAACACATACCATTAATGAAGTGTCCTCACATTCTGCACCCACATGCAAAAGACACAGAGTCCTGCCTACAGCAAATACACATTATAGGAATGAGCAACCTGTTGAAGTCCTTACTGTATATGCACATCCTTTTTCATTCCGTCTGGAGAAGATTTTCTCAAGTTGGCTTTTGTAGTAGGAAGCAAATTGTGCCAATATGATGGTTTATCTTTTCCCCCATACCACACCATTTCTATCATATCCTAAAACTATTTTTATTAAAGGAAAAACTTGCTGTGGCAAGAAGGTTTACCTTATCTCCTTTTCTTATTGTTCTGACTTGCAGTTTGCTGATTGCTTTTTTTGCTGCATCTCCAAGACGGCGCTGAAAATGCAAAACATCACTTTTATTAAAAGAATACATCTTCACTGGACAATTCTTGCAGGGATTTGCAATAGTAGCTGAATAATCCAAGGTCAATTCACATTAAGTGGACAAGGGCCCTGTACAAGTAAGCTCACAGATGAATAAAAGTCACTAGTTTAAGGATGGGATTCAATAAAACATCTGACACACCGATTAAATTATATCCAATTTTTTATTGTATTAGGAGTTTACATTTGTTGAAATATGAACAACTGGACTAAAATGAATAGAAACATTTCAGTTTTGTCTGTAAAGATATAAGACAATTCTTTTTGGTGTTTTATATATTTGGGCTTTTTAATTTCCTCCATTGCTTTACGGCATGAGCCAAATAAAGTAGACTGAGCTAGCAACCACTATGGGGACTTCACATAGTTGGATTTTCAAATGAAGCATTAATTCCAGCTGTTGATCCAGAAATGTGGATCCTGGTGTTTTTGAGACATGGACAGCTGGACCCAGCCCAATCCAGTGTCCAACAGACCCACCGCCGTCTCGCCACCCAAAAGCAGCTCCCTGGCAATGTCTTGCTGGTGCTGTAACTTCTGCTGGCTACGTGGCTGGATGCCTTGTTGTGATGTCATCAGAAGTGATGTCATCGGCAAAGGTCTGCCAGGGAGCTGGGTCTGGTTGGTGGAACAGTGGTGGGGGCAGTGGCTGCAAAGTGCTCCCAGTCCGACTGGCTGTCCAGATACCTAAAAGGCTCCAGAGATATTCCTACGCTGCACTGGGGCATCTGTGGCAATAAAAAGGCCACAATAATCAATACCCACAAACCATTTTGTTCAAGTATGGCATTTCGGAAGACTCTGCACTGAAAACATGAATGATACATAAAGCATTTCCCCACAGTTGCTCATTCATATAAGAAGCACAAAGTGTAACACCATGTTTTAACACAAATTAGAAAATCATTCTCTAATTAGAAATTCAGTTTTCCAAGCTCTGAATTGACCTGCAACCCCTCCCCGCTTACTTCTTTTCTCAGCTCTGTTTCCAACACCACTGCAAGTGCTGCTTTTAAGACAGTGTGGGACTTTAGTCCAACCAGATGTTTTCCAAGCTTTGGTTTGCACAGAAAACATTCTGTAATAGCCTCGCACAAGTATTTTCAAGGCAATGGTTTAAAGCATAAATTCTTCCTCCTCATTCTGAGGATTAGAAAGAAAAACACAGATTCTGAGATTCAGGGCCAAGTCCAAAGATTTGGGAACCCTAAACATAGCATTTCCCTGCTTAAATTCATAAAGGTGGATAAGTGATTCTGATACTTTTCAGGTCTTCATCTTTTGGTGGACTGCCACATTCAATTTTCCCCAAATATGTCCACTGTTGCCACTTAGGAATAAACCATCCATTGTTTTTATCTAAGGCTGTGTGTACTCTCTAACAGGAAGAAAAAAACATGCATACACACCAGAGAAAAGCTGGATTAAACATCATGCTTACATTTGCCTGTTTCTATAATTTACTCTTAGAGGAAATGGAGGGGACAATGAATGGCAAAGGACTGACAACTCATGTAGTCAACTTGCTTTAAGCAAGTTAAAAAATAACATTTTAAAAGGGGAAAAATGTGTTTCTTAGGATACTGAGTACCATATAAATGTAGGTATGGTCTAAGGCAGAGGGGAGTTATGGTGATCCACAAGGTCTTTTTAGTTTATAGGGGCTGTGGTGGTGCAATGGGTTAAACCCTTGTCTGAAGGTTGGCAGCTCAAATCTGTGAGACAGCATGAACTCTCGTCTGTCAGCCCTAGCTCCTGCTAACCTAGCAGTTCGAAAACATGCAAATGTGGTGGGGAAAAACAAAGAGACGCTTCAAGCAATCTTGTCAGTCACACAACCAGGGGTTGACAATGCAGGCTCCTCGGCTTGAAAATGAAGAAAAAGCACCTCCCAGAGATGAGCACCACTTCCAGAAGCCGGAAATGAAAGGAGAAGCCTTTGCTTTTGTGTTTTTTTTCTCATTGTGTGTGATTGTAAAGGCATTGAATGTTTTCCTATGTCTGCTATAAATGCTGTAATCTGCTCTGAGTCCCCAAGGGGAGAAAGGCAGAATATAAATAAAGTATATTATCATAACTCCCAATTGCCCAAGGCAGCACAGCCCCAAACTATTTCAGAGGTCAAAGTTGACCATACCTTGCCCAAAGATTATGAACAGGCCACAGTTTGACATTTCATGTGTACCTGGATGATACCATGTATTATCTCCTTAGTTCTATTGTGAGAAAAGCATATGGTATAACTGTAATAAAGTCTGCATGATTATGGCATTATGTAGACTTGTTTGAATGACTCTTATGTAGTGATATCGGCTATCAGCAAATTAAAATATTATTGATAATGGGTGCTTTTGTGTTTTCCCTGGGATACTACAAAGGGGGAAGGTTCCCAAATGAAGGACATCACATCCTCTGTTCCTGGGATGGTTTGCAGTAAACCAGCCTTATAAATAATCTTGCAGAAACATAGCAATGTTAGTCTTTTTGCAACAAAAAATCAATACAAAACCTTTGTAACCTTAATGACTACTGTATTGTAATACTGCATAAGAGCAGAGAGATATAAAAGACACATACTGAAGATCACAAAGCTCATCTTGGTTTCTACCTGGCCTGATTGTGTATTTGTTATTTTACACTGTATTATTTATTTCACGGAACTATGTGAAATTGAATACTGGAACGGCTTAGACAATGTTTTTAGATGACGAGGCTAATAGTGAAGATAGTGGTTTTATATGTTTTTAAAGGTTTTAATGTATGTATTTTATAATTCTCTTTCAAATGTTTATTGTAATTTTACATTGTTTTAATGGCATCGAATAGCTGCCAATGTTATAAAGCTGCCTTGAGTCACCTTTGGGTTTGAGAAAGGCGTGGTAGAAATATTGTAAATAAATAAATACATATTGAGTTTTTTTCTAAAGTAATTTGCCTCATTTCATTATATTAAGAGGCAGGAGATACATGGGCAAAATAAGTACACATTGACTTCACATGCTCCCTGCATGAGCCAAGCAATATCATTTACCATCTCTCAGAACACTCGAGAATTAGGGAAAAATTATACCACATTTGTTTTGCATCTAAAGACTGGAATGCGAATCATTCCTCACCCATCTGTTTCCATTTGCTTTTTTGTTTGTTTTCTCAAGGCACCATTCCAGATTTCAATAAGAATAGGAAAAGAAGGAACGATGAGGGGAATAATACATAGGGTTAAAATATTACAAAATAATACTGCATTCTAAGAACGTTTGTTTTAAAATTGTGCAATGGACTAGGACAAGGCTATTAACACTGTTCAAATTATCCAGCTGTTTCCCACAACCCCACAACCTTTTTTAAAAGGAAGAGAACTCAGTGGAAGGTAATATTCAGGTCATTTTTTAATAATTTGAGCTACTTTGTATGTAAAGGTAGCATAATTTCTTTATATGATTACTTTAAAACAATGCAATGAGTTATGGAACACACTGCCTTTTGAAAATTAACATCCCAAGCTCTGAGTTAAAGTGACCCTTGCAAACTCTACTTCAGTGAATATTCGCAAATCTCTTCCACTGTAAGCAATGTGTTGAAACATGTTTTACTTCGACTGGATTACACCCAATATATACAGATGTGAAAACATACTTTGTACAGCTTTTTAGAGGGGAGACAGCAAAACAAATATTTACATGTTGCTCTTGACCCTGACCACTTTGTTACTATTACCCTTTAACACAGTGTTTTATTTTCCTCACAATTTGTGCTATTCAGAGGAATAAAGCAAGAGTGGGAAAAGACTCAAATTCAAAAGATGCCAGTTAGCATAAAATAGACTGGAAAGAAAGAGAATTATAATCGGCTTCTGAAACACATTCTCATAAAGCCTTTGTGAATAAAATAATGATTGCTGCCATTAAAATAGTATGTCTACTAAATACTTGAGGGAACAAAAATGCTATTAAAGCAGTGTATTTAGCTACTAAAAACTCGAGGGGAAATAAAAAACACATGAAAGATCAGTTAAAAATGTTTGATCTTTGATTTTCCCCATTATTTTCTCCCTCATTTAAATTAAACACTGTTACATTCACTGCCCTTATGAATATTTCTATTCCTAATTATAATAATAAAAATTGATATAAGCCTAAGTAATACATGCCCTGAGTCCCTGAGTTTTATGATTACAAGAGTTATCCGGAAAGTAAGGTTACAAGGCACGTAGCTCTTGCTGGGAATTTTCGCGGTGAAAGTTGGTATCACTGTTGTGTAGTAAAAAGCCAGCGGAAGAGAATGAGCAGTGCTAGTTGTCAGTAGC